ACAACTTGAAACCATGTAAAAAAATATTTTGAAAAAAGTAAATACTTTTCGAAATAATTAGTGTACCCACTTAAAAGAATCACCCTGTATGTATTTATGGAAAATATTAATTTATGTTTTACTGTATTTTATTATTTCTAGACCTTCTGTTTATAACAAAAAAACATTTTATTATAGATCATTTTGTCATTATTATTTTATTGCACCTTTAAAAAAATATATAATTCCATTAAATTTATATTGTTCTATGTTATACCTACGTTTTGTGTAAGCCAACTGATGATAACTATAAAAAAAATAGTAACTACCAAAGTACCAACCAACAAAACGGCGGCCGCTGTCCTCGTGCTTCACTGATAACAATTAACAATGTAAATAATACATAGATAAAAATATTAAATAATATATTATATATTATCTATGAAATAATATAAGAGTACCTTATYTAGTTAGTAAAGAAATCTGTGTTCACGGATAATAGATATCAATTATCCGTGGTCTGTGTTTACATGATACAACGCTTAGATCACATTGTATTTGTATATGATCTAAGATACAACGTGTGGGAAGCTGCGTGTAAATGTGTAAACTGTAAAGTGTTGATAACCCCAAGCTGCAGCTGGTAGTGYACTATAATTTTTAATATTATCACTATATAATATTATATTTTAGTACCTGATTTTGGTTAATGGTTAATACAATAATACTTAAAATGTATTGCCGTATTGGTAATTCAAACCACAGATGTAATCTGTGATTCAAACTATATAGTATAGTGGTTACTGATTGGTACATTGAATTTCTTGAATCTCGAAATCTTGATTGTTTTTCACGCCGGTTTGAAATTTTCTACCGTAGAACTGGCATACTCGCATACTATCAATTGCTCGTAACTCGTGGGAAAATCGACTGGCCAAATTGGACAAGTGACGGCGGTTAGTGAACAGCGAACGATGGACTCTTTCGACATATTTAAAAAGCTGTCAGTAGGAGCAAAATTCAAAAAACCAGAAAAGATTGCGATCAACCACGAGGTAATCTATAGATAATTACAAATTACCATGTTAAMATTTTTAACATAATGTGTTTCTTTACCTTTTTTCTATGTCACAAAGGATGATAAATCTAGCGCAAAACAGGTTAAAGTCAAAACGGTTGGTGATCGTGTTCCTGAAGCGCTTTCAACTTTTGACATGATGAAAAAAGCTTATTCTTTGAGTCCAATTTTGATGGAAAATCTYATTAAGTCTGGTTACACTGTGCCAACGCCAATTCAGACTCAGGCTATACCAGTTATGTTGCAGGTGAGTTGGAACGTTGGAAGCTAATGATATCTTGAGACTTGTATGAAACATAAGTACATGAATTAATTTCTTATTTTGTTAGAAAAGGCAAATATTTGCTTGTGCTCCAACTGGTTCTGGTAAAACTGCCGCATTCTTAGTACCTATAATTCATCATTTAAATAAACCATTAAATAAAGGATTCAGAGCCTTAATTGTGAGTCCTACAAGAGAGTTAGCAAAACAAACATTAAGGTATGTACAATAACATTAAATAA